CGTTATACCTATCAATTTCAATAATTATTCCGTAATTAATTAGTATCGATGTATGTACAATTTTAGAATTACTGTAAACTGTAAAGAGATAGTCTTATGAAAATGTTTATGTTGAACAAATATTATTTTTCAAAATATATGACGTAACTTGTCTGGTTGTTTTCATAATAATCTTATTATTTTTTATGCTGTCATTATTATTTATTTAGTTTTTTGTCAGTAAAAATCGCATGAGCATATTTTTTTTAATCAATAAAATTTGTCTTAGTTTATACATAATGCTAAAATATATGTTTAGAAAGTGATTTATTGTTTTTTGTTAATGGAGTACTCTAGTAAGTACTAATTATGTCTATGAGATTGATATTGCAGTTATAATTTATAAAAATATCTGACAGATTGGTGTAAATAAGCATATGGTGTGGTTTTCAAAATGGATGTATTATGTCGTGTATACATATGATATAATTAGTAAACCTCAAATGAAAATTAAACGTAATATAATAATTATTAATATATGCATAACTAAACTGCATAAGTATATTTTACAATATAGTATAAATGCTGTACGAGTCTTTAAAAGTACTAATAAATATCTAACTAATTTTTTTTATTTATTTCAATTGATTTTTTTTTAAGTTTTATTTTTTAAATAAAAAAAGCTTGGGTGAAATTTGTAGTGCTAAATTTTACATAATAGGKGGAAAAAAGTATGCATTGCATTTATGCATTTATACTTTAATGGATTGTTTTATCTTACCTAGGTATAACAGAACTACTGAACACTATTTTAGTCATTTTTTGTTTAGGCATATGAAGTTAAAATTTTGTCTTGGGTAGTTCAGTGATTGTATACTCAAACAAACAAAAAATAAAAAAATATAGCTTTTTCTTTAAATGGTTTAAGTTATTTAGTGAGGTATTTTTAGTTTTTTTTTTTCATGACATCAAAGGTTTTTGATCATGAAATATTGAAATCGTTAAACGTTTGTTAGATTTAATTAAGACACATCTACTATGAGTAGATGCGACTACTCGGTACCTCTTGTTCTTAAACATCAATCATAATAATATTTAATCTGAACATTAAATGCACATCGAATTCAACTTCATTATGTTTAAATATAAATTATAATTTATTATATTATATGGCTTATAATTCTAATAGACCGTGTATTTGAAATCAACTTTATTATTCTAAATAATTATTTGGTTGTTATAATAGAAATTAATTACGCTAATAACTATACCATCTATTTTGTGTATAGCTACGTATGATGTAATATTGAAGTAGGTATTAGTAGTTGGATCACTTCAAAAAAGTGCACGTGACACTATAATAGGTACAGTGGTGGGGAGGATGGTTCAAGTATAATATACCATACAGCATACGCTATTGTATATAAGTTTCTACTCTGCACATTGTTGGATGAATGTAAATTTGTTGTATGTCAATAATAATGAAAAAAATGTATTTTTGTGTTTGTAATTGTGATACTAGACGTTTTATAACTTTTTCATTTTTTGTAAAATATGTTTCTCCTTCCATAGAAGGATCAACGGAAAATCACGGCTTCGAGTACAAATGGTATTGCTTGTTTATAATGATAGCCAATCTACTCAATCTTCTCTCTATAATTTTCTGGATAACCTGTTTTTTATAGGTTCACTTATTTTATTCAATATTTCATCGATATAACTTAATAAATCAAACACAAACAATATACTTTTATGCATGTTATGGTTCTGACATAAAAAACATTCTTCAAATAAATATCGTATTTTGGTTTACAGACTAGCATGCTCGTTATGAGTAACTTGCATTATTGTATAATGTATAAATATTAAAATATTTTTTGTATTTGAAAGTTCTTGTAACAAAAAATATGTATAATCTTTTTATAATATCCCTGTTGGATTAGAAAGCTTT